CACTGGCTGAGGTGGTGGGATGAGGAGGGGTGGTTGTTCCCATGGATCTGGGTTCCTCTATCCCTCCTTGCAGACCAATTCCCAGGATACAGTCCAGTTCCCGCTGGTACTGTCTCTCCACCCAGTGCTTTACCACGGTCTCATTCTCAGATTTCTTCAGCTTAAGGACGTTTTTCCCAAGCAAATTTTTCACATCCAGGACACTGAGTTTCTGTAACACACACACACCATCACCTTTACTCATCCTCACAGCCAGCATCACCCCAAAAAGCTTTTTTAATGGGGCTGCAGAGCATGTAATAACTTCCAAAAGAAAATTTATAAGGGTAAAAAAGTGGAGAATTGGTTATTTGGTGGGGCTCCAGTCTCAGAACCCCCTGCTCAACCCCCAGCCAGCCCTGCCCTTCAGTGGGAGGAGAAGCAGGAGCACGCTGTGGCCATACCTGCAGTTCATCAGGATTTAGGGCGAGGAAGGTGTCTATATCCATATCTATGGCCACACCAGCTTCAGTCAGGTCTTTCAGGTCCTTTGCTGGAGCTCCACCTTAAGGAAAGCACATGGGGCACCTAGACATGTGCAAACCCTTCCAGCACTTCTGGAGAGGTTTGGGGGGGTTTTGGAGACTGCCAGACCTCCCTCTAGTGTGGCCAAACCCCAAGGCTTAGGAAGAGACACCCAACCTCACAATGGGAAGGAGGGTGAAGGCTGAAGCACCTACCCAGGTATGGCTGGATCTGGCAGTAATACTCCCTGAGGGTGCTGGCCTGGTTGGCAAAGGCCTCCTGGGCTTTCCTGTAGAACTGATCCTTCTTGGTTTGAGAGCAAGAAGAAATGTTTAACTGTCCAGCAGTTCTGGAAGAGAGGGTCACAGGTCAAAGTGAGGCAGTACCCCAAAACCACAGCTGAAGTGTTTTGTTGGCCAGGGGAGATGAGTGGGTTGCCCCCACTCATGGTGCCAGGGCTCAGGCAGGAGCTGGGAACAGAATGATGCCATCCCACTGTGCTGCCTAGGAGTGAACAGAGCCAAAATGGAGCTGGGGGTCTTCCATCCCACCATGCACTTCCCCATGGTTCCAGAGGCCTCACAGGACTGAACAGCATCTCTAAAAAGTGGCTCACCTGATTGCTTCTGGAGGTATTAGCTCAATTTCTTTCTCCTCCAGGTTACACAGGTGTTCGCCTCTAATTTTCTGGAGCAAGGGCCCAGTCAAGATGCCCCCCAGGGACAAGTACCTGCTGACCAGCTGCAGCACCTGAGGACCACAATGCACATAGTGGGATGCAGGTAGAGAAGGAAGATGGTCCCAGTAAAGATGTGAGTGCTGCCTGTGGGAGCTGACAGCTGGCCTGAGGGCCTTGCAGACTTCAACCTGAGCTCTACAGCTCTACAGATCATCATGTACCCTTGAATGGTTACAGCAGCTAGAGGGAGACACACTTACCAGAAGAAAGATGAACAAGAGCCAAAAGAAGAGAAAGCTTTTTTGTCAAACAAAATGATAAACGAAATGTGTACTTATGTAATTCGTAGCCAATGACAGGTGGCTTGTAAAATATTATATCCAATGGACAAAAGACATGCTTTATGTAAAAGGTATAAAAACAGCTAGTTTGTAATAAAGAGAGCTTTTTGCCTTTCACCTCTATTTATGTGTATGTATTTATGTTGCATGTCCATCTCAACTGCGGCAGCTGCCAACCCCCTGAGCTGGGCTGGGGCACGGGTGGCCCCAGTTTGTGTTCTCCAGCACCCAGTGCCTTCTGTTGCCATGAGTTTACCTTGGCATCCTCCCACATGCCACCTGAGGTGTCGAGCAGGGCTAAGAGTGTGTCGTTGGACGTCACTGACCACTGGCTGATCTCTGCTGGCGTGTACAGGCGGGACAGCGATCCCAGGCGCTTCAGCTGCTCCTCTGGGATCCCTGATGGAAAAGTCTGTGGGCCAGTGGGGCAAAAAGAGGGTGAGGAAAAGGAAAACAGGGTAGAAATGGGCACAAAGGACCCACTCAGGCATCTTCATGCCTGTGTCTGTTGATGCCCCTTCCCATAGCAGGTCCTGCCCACCCCAGATTGTGCCCATGCTGGGGACTCCTGCCCTCTGTCACCACTTACCTGGTCCACCTTTTTTTTCATGACCAGGGAGTACTGCAAGGGGAGTGGAAGTACCAGCAGATCCTCCAGGTTTTTCATTAAGACATCATTACTCAAGCACAGGTCGAACTGCTCAACGTCATAGGAAAAGATTGAGTAGATATCAGCGATGGTGCTGGAGGTGATGGTCCCAGACGTGCAGCCTGTGGGCAAGGAGTTGTGTCAGGCAAATGGTGTCCCCAGTTCTCACCTGGCCCTGGTCCTACCCATGTGGCTCAGAGCTCTAGTGAATGAACAAGGAATAAATAAAGTTCCTCAAGCCACCGTGGCTCCTCGTTCCACTCCTTAGATCCCCAAACCACATTGATTATTCATTATTCACTTTATTCCTAGAAATTAATCCTTAAAACCTGATGATGTCTCTGCAGCCCACCTGAGCTTTGACTGGTCAATGTAACTAAAAACACTCCTGTGAGGTGAACCCTTTCCCACTTCACCTACACAAGCATCTTCTGGTCTTGCAGCATCCTCCCCTAGGGAGTATTCCCACCCCTTTGCCTCCTTCCTGGCTGCTGCTCCAAGTAAGTGTAAAACCCACAGTGTACTGTAAGGACATTTCCCAACCTCGCAGTTACTTTATGGGAATCCCCCAGCTTTCTGCCTGGTCCTGTGCCCCTCCCCAGGTGTACCCACATGCCAACCACCCTGGGGTCATTTTTCCCCCCCTAAGAGCTCCAAACCAGTCCAGACTGGTCACAATGAGGGAAACTCACTGGCTGTTTTCCGCTTCAGCCTGGGATGAGATGATGCTGATGCCTCTGCAAAGGCCCTGAGGAGGATCAGGGATTTCTCCTGCTGGGAATGACTCTGGCTGCT